GGTGCCAGTGGCAGGCTCTGGGGTGTTCAGCCCAGCTGAACCATCTGGGCTGGCCCTGGAGTCCCAGAGGTTGAGGTGCAGAGAGGGAAGGGACTTGCCTGGGGCAGCAGGTATGGATGGCCTTCCACCACAGGGTGGTTCTGGACTCTGCCATGGGCCCAGCGTGAAGTGGCTAGGCAACAGCGGACAAGAGTCAAGGCTTACAGAGCCCGGGGGGCGGGGGGGTTGTGGTTCTCCAGGCTGATGGCAGCAGGCAGAGGTGGCACTGTGGCGAAGACTGTGTTTGTTGTGGTCCAGGGGCCCAGCAGCCGGTGACACCTGATGAAATAGATGGGGGTCATGCTGAGAGCTTGATGGCAGCATAGGGCCCGGGTGGTGTCCAGGTGGGGAGTGGTTGTGGGGGAGAGCATGCTGGCAGTGCGTGTGCAAGGCGAGGGAGGAACAGTAGGCTGTCCCTACTCGGAGGGGGTCCTCTCACAGTTAACCTGGGAATGGGGAGAAGTAACAAGCCCCTTGGCAGAGGCTCTGGGAGGACAGCTCCTGTGAGACTGTCTTCAGCTCTGAGACGCCAGGATTGTTGAAGCACCTCGAGTCATGTTGCACTCAGACGGAAAGACGCGGCCAGGCTTGGACTTGCTAGCGACCGCAAGGCGTGGTGGAGCTCCAGAGCCGTTAGAACCCAAAGGAAGGCTCTCAGGGTTGACTGTGTGGGCTGTATATGAGGGCCTTTTGAGCTCAAGGGTGGAAGTAATTGTGTTCGATAATCCTTGTGAGTGAGAGCCAGAAGGAAGACTAGGGGAGGGAGAGGGTTTGGGAAGGGGACACCCCCGCCTGCGCTTGTCCCTGGTGGGCCCAGGCAGGGTGAGGCCAGATGAATTCTTGGACATGGGGTGTGCAGCCTGCCCTCTCCCTGGCCCCCCATCTCCCCTATCACCTTTACATCAGCTGCCAAGCAGCTGGTCTCTGTCCTGCAAGACTTCAGTCTCTGACCTCACCGGAGCCCTCAGTAGCTTGGTGAGTCTTTTTAGGTATCCCTGGTACTTTTCCAGGCCTGTGCCATTCTCCCCAGCCCCTTGTCACCTGGCACCTCCATGCCCCCCCCCCTTGTGGCCCTGCTCAGCGCTCTCCCCCGGTGGAAAACGTTCAGGCTGCCCTCCACTCCGCCAGACACACTGTTGTGGGCCCTTGCCGGGTGCCATGCGTTGTGGACCTCCAGTCCAGGCTTCATCCCACCTCCCCTGCTCCACCGAGACCACAGTTGCTGAATGGGTGGGGATGGTGTCATGCTGGTCCAGGTCTTAACTGTCCACCCCTCACACACTGGAATGGCCGTCACAGGGCGTGCATATTTAGTTGATTTTTAACACCTTTTATTTATTGATTGATTTTAGAGGTAGAGGGAGAAACATCTGTTTGTCTTTCCACTTGTTGGTGCATCATTGGTTGATTCTTGTATGTGCCCTGACCAGGAATCAAACCCATAACCTTGGTGTATCGGGACAACATTCTAGCCAACTGAGCTACCCTGCCAGGGGATTATTCCTTTGATTCTTAATGGAAATTTCCTTCTGGCCAGAATCGGGCCCAGCTTCTTGGAGGATCCCTGGGAGGTCGAGAGGGTGAGCAAGCTGCTGCCCTACTGTCTCCAGGGGAGCACCAGGTCCCTGGCCTCTGCGGAAGCTGCTGGTGCATCCAGGATACGCCTCGGTGCCCCTGAGGCCTGCCAGGGCAGGGCCAGCAGAAGGTCTTGGTGAGAAAGACCTGGGTAGGGAGGCTGAGCTGAGGGAGAAGGGGAGGACTCATAGGCTCCTAACTGGGAGGGCTGGCTGGTAGGACACAGGCTGTTAAAGTCAGGCCCGGTGGGCTGTGACCCCTACCCTCAAGAGGAGGCAGACAGTGGCTCCTTTTGAAAATGTCATTTATTTATCTTCAAGTCTCGAGAGTGCGAGGACCTGCTGAGTGTCTGGCTCCTGGTCGATGTGCTTCCCAGTGCACCCTGACCAGACATCTCAGGGCTGAAGTAGGATGCCTGTGTGGAGGGTCTTCGGTGACAAGGGCACAGCCCTGGGTCCAGGAGCTGGTGCCACCTCAGCAGCGTCCTGGTCTGGTCAGGAAGCCCAGCCCATGGGGGTGGTGTGGGGTGAGTCCCCAACGCAGAGACCAAGCATTCCCGGGGCCTGGGACTCAACTCGAGTGCCTGGTCCTCTGCAGGCCAGCTGCTCTGGGTCCAGCCCCACCAGACCTGGGGACTACAGAGACGAAGGGGAGCAGGGGGCAGCAGGCTGTGACCAGAGGAGGCTGAGGCAAAGGCAGGCATAGCCGGGAAGGCAGGTGCCCTGAAGTGGTTGGCCAGGTCCAAGGGGACAGAGGAGGGCTGAGGGTCCCTGGACAAGAGGAGGTGAGGGACTGGCCCAGGGCGGGCAGGGGATGGTCATCTTGCTGGCACCTCCATCCTGTTGCATAATTTGAGCTCCCCCCCTCTGCTCACTGCCAACAGCCCCTTGGGGCAAGTGCCCCCAGGGCGCCCTCACGTGCTCTGGCCCTGGGCAGGAGAATGTGGGCTGGAGGCTCCTGACTTGCAGATGCACAGGGTTCTGAGTGCCTCCAGGAGGCTGGTTTTGTGCATTTTGTTGCTCTTGACTTGGCCTGTGGGTTTCTGTTTACCTGTGCAGGTGTTTAAATATGGCTGAGTGAACCAGAGAGGACGCACCCACACTGTCCCATCCTCCTGGCCCTCTAGTGGGGACTACCGCTCATGCTCTGGGCAGTTTGGGGGCCCCTGGGATCCAGGGTGAGTGGGGGAGGCTCTTGTGCCTGAAGCCCCCTCCCAGACTCCTCCACCCCCAGCATCTGGGATTGCCCCGCCCTGGGACAAGACCAGGCCCTGGAGAGTTCTGTGCAGCCAGCTCCCTCACTCTGTGGTGTGTCCAGCTGGCCAATTGAGAGTGAGCCTAAAAATAGACTCCCACCCAGGGCTGTAAAATTCCCTGGGCAGAGAGAGGGTATAAACAGGCCGTGCCCTAGGGGCCTGGTCACTGGGTCAGGCCCCAGGCTGGGCAGCTTCCTCCAGGCTCACACCCCTCCGCCACCCTCCTGCACTGCTGGGCCACCAGCTCACTCATGCTCCGACCTCCGGTACCTGCAAGGTGGACAGGTTCTGTGGCTCCTCACCACTAGGAGGTACATCCCCATTTACAGATGGGAAACTGAGGCTCATGGAAACAACATGCCAGGTTTCCTACAGGCTGTGGGCAGTTAGGGTTCATGGGAGAGGGGCTCTGATTCTGCAAACCGGGGTGTCAGAGCAGCTGGTACCATCTGCACCACATGGCTCTGGGGAAGGGGCTCCCAGGACAGCTGTGGTCCAGGTGCTGTGGCTCAGGCTACTCCAGGTCATGCGTGTCTCTGCACCCCCCCCAGCCCTTGGCTCCCACCAGCTGAGCCTGCTGCATCCTTGGTCAGCCCAGACTGTTGTTGGACCCCACCCTCGGGGTTCTGCTGGTGGCAAGGGAAGAGGGCGGCACACCCCCTGCCCCTCCCCTCTGAAGCCCCCCTGGAGAGGGTGACACTCTGTCCCCTGTTGGGGGTGTCCCTTTCAGAGGCCGAGGGGATCTGGCAGCAGAGCAGGAGGACCAGACTTCCCCGCAATGACCAGGTAGGTCTTAGGCAGTGGAGAAGCCTCCACCCAGGGGTGTGGGGTCTGCACCCTGCCCTCCAGACTCCCCTCACGCACCTATTCCCCCTAGTTCCCCTGTCTCCAGAGTCGTCTACAACGGCAAGAGGAACAGTAGCCCCCGCTCTCCGCCCAGCAGCAGCGAGATCTTCACCCCCGCCCACGAGGAGAATGTGCGATTCATTTACGAAGGTAGGGCGCCCCCACCCGGCCTCCACCTCACTCTTTCAGCCTCACGGCCCAGGCAGGTGGGGTGCCTGGGCCTGTCTGGAGGACAGGTTCTTGTAATGGGGGCCAGTCAGCACTGTGGGGCTCCCAGTGGGCAGCACCCCCTGAAGAGGCAGCATTTGCAGCCAGTTGGGTTCTTGGCGGGGCGTGGAAGACAGATGTGCGCTCTGGGGGAATCCATGGTGTCCCAGGACTGGGGGCTCTGTGCCTGGCGCCCCGCTTCGAGGGATTAGTGCTGTGCCCCAGTGGGTCGCATGTGCCTCTGACAGCGGCCCTGGTCCTGGTGTGGACGCGGGGACGGGCCTGCTGTGGGAGCCGGGCAGGGAGGCCGAGGCGGGGGTCGGGCAGGTCTAGGGAGTGGGGTGCGCAGGGTCTAGGGGCCCAAGGCTGTGACCCGGGAGGTTGGTGGGGCCGGGGAGGGGCTGCGAGGCCGCGGGGGTGCTCTCCCGGCCGGACCCGCCTGCCTGGTGGCCGGACTGACCCTCCGACTGGCCACGCCTTCCGCAGCCTGGCAGGGCGTGGAGCGGGACCTTCGGAGCCAGATTTCGGGCAGCGAGCGGGGCCTCGTGGAGGAGTACGTGGAGAAGGTGCCCAACCCCAGCCTCAAGAG